CACTTCTTCACCCTCGTGAGATATCATGCTCGACAACATGGAATGATGCATCACAGTACCGACTGCAATACCACATACGTTGTGAAATTGGTAATTCCTATCACATACAGCCGTATGTCACAAGCGGTACCAGATATAACTGTACCATCAAATTCTCTAGTACTATATACGCATATAGCTATACAGTGTAGCGTTGAAACAGCAATCAGAGAAGTCGGCAACGGCTTGTCGATTTCTGAAAATCCCGCTTTATCAAACGTGCGCGTAACAGTTCTTACCCTTATACGAATGTGGTGTAGTTTCACAGTCCTTTTCGTAGTATTTCAAGCTGGAGCAGAATCAGAGAGTCCACAAATTGAGTCGGAACTTAACCTATGGTGATCGACTGAATCGGCTTTAAATCCCACTGAGTCGAACTTGCGCCGAGCGGTAACCTCACAAATAGTTTGTTCACTTGAATATGTATTACATAAACGTTCACAGTACATCTGCTTCAAACATCTTCATTTCAGATGACCGTTGTGCTGTGCCCAATCATTTCGCTCTTCACAGGCGGCCAGGACCAAATGAGTCTCGACTGGAATCTTGTCGTGATACCTTGTTTTGGATCATTAGGAAGCCGATCTCACTATAGCAAAAGGCCCTTCGTCGAAAGCGAATCGTTTCGGTACGCCCAGCACACTGCAGGACCTGGCCTGCTCAAGCAACAACGGTAGTCCGCCTTCCACTCGAGATGTGGGATGGTAACTGATGCCCTGGCGCTGCAGCGCCCATGTATCGTACCCAACATTGAAAAATGTCTGAATTGCAAATTTGTTAATTCTTAATTGTTGCCAAACGCTTTCGAGCCGCACTCACTTCTGCCATAGTGTATGTAGCTTCCAGCGTTTTTTGCCTCATATCATCAATGCTATACGGGTTTTCAACAGATGAATGAATTTTAACTCCTTAACAACATGTGACATTTTACGAGCTCACCATGCGGCACAATAGACATTTTGTTGACTTTTGAATCGACGAGGGTAAAGGATATTGAAAGCAATATTGTGTCTAACCACTAATAACTAGTACTAATATCTACTTGCCTATATCTACTTCGACGAAGAAGACTTGCACAAAAGATAAGTTTACACCAATTTTGACGGTACATAATAATCATAGTTGCAACAGAGAGAAACAGTACCGAAGTACGGCTTAAGCCCACTGCGTCCCGGATGGTGCACATGGTGCAGAACTACCTTTTCATCCGGAATTTCAGAAGCAGAAATGTGCGGTTCATTTAAATTATTTAGATCTGAAATTTGGTAGGTGAGCAAATTCAAACATCCTTCAATTGCTGAAGAGTGTTGAGGTGGAGCAGCAGAGCGTGAGCACAGCTACGCCGGGCTTCACTCCTTCTTACAATCAGAACATCGCCCGACAACTGACGGGCGACAGTTTTTTCCTGAAGACAGGCAAAAACACCCCTCGAAGTAGTGGTCTTAGACCAAAAACATAGCGTAATGCTTTCATTTTTCTGGATATTGATCACCCAAGGATTCAAAAGTCGTCGACCATTACGGCGTTATCAATGTGAAAAGTGGTGATAGTGTAACTCAGTGAGACAGAGAAAGCTGGAAGAACCAGAGTACTGCTTTGAGACTGCTGCGGTTCCATGCATATAAACGGTTCTTTGGGCCATACTAAGGAGGAAAAGGCATAATGTACAGGGTGGGCAAAAATTAAGTAACAAGAGGTTGCCGCTGTCTTTCTGAAATTCCGAACATCAGGAGTTTCGGCTGTATATTCTATGTATTTATTTGGTAGGTCAGTGTTTCGTTGATTTCGTCACATTAAATATATCAACTTCAGAACATACAATCTTAGAACTCTTCGGGAATCACTCCAGCGAGGTTAGATTGTGTAGAATTGCTAGGCGATACAGAAGCTCTTTGAAACCACCACTACAAAGCTCAATAGGCCATTCACCAGTATCATTAGGCCTGGAACCAAAAGAATCGCTGGTGCGACTTCACGGGTAGTATCTTAAAAATACAAGCGAAAATCGTGAAGTCGCTGGAAGCCAGCTCACTCATTCCGTAGTTTGATCGCTGAAACTACTGCCGAGCGCACTTTCCTGTTACGTGTTGTTCAGCAAACAGGTTTCCAAGCATAAAAGTGCCTAGCTTCTGACCCGTGCGAGCAAAACTTGGATAGCAGCAAAGACCTGGAAGATCATTATCCCGACCGTCAAATGAGCCTCCGATCTCTATTTATCGTCGTTTTCTCTCTCGAAGCGAAGATACTCTTCTAATGTCCTCATATCTGTCGCAATAGTAGAGGGCGAACGGGTCCAACGCTAGTGAAAGCTCAACCCAGCCATTTGGAAGTGGTTTTTGCAGAAATTATAATAGCAGTAATTATGATCCGAAGACATATCGGACCACGATATCGGTCGAGGAAATTCTTCGACAGGGGGTCCCGTACCAGGGTCAAGCGTGCGTTGAGGAATCCTCGACACGTCGCAGGGGGGGGGGTCGTATTGGCCCGCTGGGTGGAAGAGATCGAGCCATTTTGATGCAGTGGGATCATCACCGTCGGAAGGACAAACATCAAGGATGAGTCGATGCCAGGCCAGAGGATTTCCAATGAAAATGATATTTCACCCACACAAAATTTTCGTGATTCTGAGGCGTCCGGTAATTCTTAGTTACTTCAGTGTTTTATCACCACACAAGTTAACACGTTGGCGACCAAGCGGATTTGAGGGTGTCTGCCAGTGTGGGACCACGGAAAACCAGCATGTATTTTTCTTGCAACAGTTTTTCAACATAGCAAGTTTAATGCGCTGATCACGAATATGGCATTGATCTGGAGCGTTTCGCGTCATTTGGCACCAGTTTGCTCTTAATTGGCACTATCTTGGCGCCACGATATTTCCCTTGTCAAATTCGGCAAACACCTATATTAAGAGTTATCCCTCCGCGACTCAATATGACCGCTGTTCAGAACGTCGTAATCTGCGGCGGCCGAAATGGATATCTACTGGCCGCTAAAAATTCGGCCGGCAAAAGACTGCAACTTGAGAGGCATCGGTTGTACCGGGGGATCATTAAGCCGAATGAAGACGACGTTTCGAACATGCAAGTAAAAGCGACGAAGTGAACGCCGATCTGCGGACCGAGGAAGATGTTCTGCGAAGACCAGTCCTCCTTCGATAAAGAATGTGAACTTCATAATGATGCTGCTGAGACAGCAGATGTTGTCGAGGCTGCTATAGCATGCTTTCCGACGAACATGGTAGTTACTATATTAGATCACATATAGAAAAGTGGGAACTCGATGTAGTACTTGTGGGGGCTTCTTCTGTATTGAATACTTCCAAACGCGCCACAAATTGTGGGAGAAATCTCAACTGCTAGTTGCGTCATATTACCTTTTTGTGTTATTTTTGAAATGTAGTAAAACGATATCAAGTGAAAAACCTAAGGCAAATGAATATTATTAGCCTTGCAGATATAGAAGTGATATGGTGAAAGAAAAAAAAATATAAGCATTTCAATAAGTTGGGGTGTCGCCCGACATCGGGTGCCATCGTCCCACGCGGCAGAAAAAATGTCGCCCGACGTCGGGTGCCAATTAGTCCCCCTGTGTTAAAGAATCTGAATTTCGCACGCTTTCCAAGAGATATTTCATCTTTCAAGTAAGACCCCGAATCTGAAGGGATGTGAGGTACACGGCGCATCCGAGAAAGGGTCTAGTTGTTGCGCGCGCTTCAACTACGGCTCCTTGGACAAACAACCTCAATTCAGGAACAATCGAGAGAATTCTGTCCGTGCGCATTTACAGGGAGGTGTACACCATTCAACATTGCGTTAACGGACTCTTCAGGGTTAAATTTATAAACATGTAACCTTTAAAGTTGAGAAACGCTAATCAATCACTTTTCTTAGAAAGAGAAAAGCAATGATTCCAAATCTGCTCTTACTTTAGTACATACGCCCTTAAAAGGATATACAGCCGTTGAAATAGTGCCAATGTAGCGAAAAAGTACCTTTCGGCGGTACTCGTGCGAAAATCCTCAACGTAGCCGTTTTTTTAATACTGGACGTTTGGAGCAGTTCTAGCTAGCATTTGATAGAGCAAATCTTCTAGTTTCTGATGGCGTATTCACTTTTCGGATTGGATGAGTTTGAACGGAGTTATGGCTTTAGGAAAGTAAAAAAACTCGCACTCATCACAAATTTTCCTCGTTAATTTTGCAGAAATCCTCAACGTGGCCATTTTTTGAATACTGGACGTATAGAGCTGCTTTAGCAACGGTTTGGTAGAGAAAATCTTCTAGTTTTGTCTGCCATATTAACTTTTCGAATTTGACGAAAATGAAGCAAGTTATTGCTTCGGAAAGTGTAAAAACTCGTGCTCATCTCGAATTTTCCTCGTTAATTGACCTAAATTTGTTATTTCTTATAACTTTTTGTAATTTCATACTGATTAGAAAAAGCTCTTCACAAAACTTCCAAATCTGCTTTCAGATTGAAAATTCGTCATATTTGAAGAAAGTTATAATCATTTGAATATTTGTTCAAATTTCAATAGTAAATAAGCTGCTCCACGGTCAACGCCAAAGTCCAGTCAACACACAGCTGGCGAAGGCGGTTAAAAAGCTTCTTTCAACTGAAGGGCTACGTGCAAATTGAGAACCACAATCTGTGTAGTACTAGAATTTGGTAAGTCTTGTGGAGGAAATAAATAAAGAAGATATTTTGTAATAGTATGCCATTTTTAGTGGCTAGTTTGTCGTTTTCTGGTCTGTTTCTCGTTTGCTCGTTTGGTAGGACTCATCAATAATGATTATTCTTTGACTTTTTCACTTTTGTACTTCTTAAACGAATTTTTTTGTGGGCGGTGGGGTAGCAGGGCTTTTTTATGAGCAGTTTTGGGGGAGAATTAAACAAGCTTTTCAACCTTTTCATAGTTCGGCTTTTGAAGAGGGTTGTTTCATGGACTTCGGCCTCCGGCGGAGGGGTGGGGGGGGGGGGTCGTATTTCCAAATTTTCCTCAACGCCTCGCTTGACCCTGGTCGTACCTGTCGCCTGGGTCATGGGGGGTCGTACTCTTTGGGTCAGTAACAGCAGTGGTATCATGTGGTGCAGATAGGTAAGAGGGTATAGCGCAGCAGAAAATGAAAATATCTGAAAAAAAACATGATATTAAATTTTCTTTGCAGGTTCAGTCGCTCCATTCCTCCACTTCATGAGAAGGGCGTATTTGAAGGCAGTACAAAGAATGAAAGTGCATCCCCGCAAAGAAGACTGCCACATGTGCGCACGCGCTGCAAAGGCACCTCCTCTGCCTATCGCTCGCTCCTTCTCCCTTAATACCTCGCTGAGAATGACACTGTTGTTAGGGGACCTGTCGCAAAAACGACAACCGTGAAGGAAAAGCCCTGGGCAAATGAAGTTGTTCTTAGGTTGTAAGAGTTACGAAATGCGTTTACTACAATGCAGCTTCTGTCAACTGGTCATGATCATATGACACCTTCGAATCGATTCTGCAACTTCGAGTGAGGTCGGATGCATGGCCTATACTCAGACAAAATTCGATGATGACGATTGCCCCTTTTCCTATTGCTTATGTTGGGAGGATGTTTTCTAGACCCATTTCAAGCGTTGCCAACAATTACACTTGCAATGGTGAAGAAGGGAGCGGATTTTCAGGTGGCTGGATCCGTCCTCGATACATACTCGACGCAGATATCTTCTCAACTAGAAATTTAGACCCGAAAAATCTAAAAGATAATCAGGAAGCGCAAACCTTCCGCTTTCCAAAACTATCTTCACTTTTTCAGGATCTTCACAATATAAGAGATATATTGCTCTTGAAGTGGCAAAAACTCGCGTGAAAATTTCAGCGTCCTCGACGTTTACTCGACGAAATTTGAGAGACCCTATCTTTCTGCATGGAAGGCTTCCAGAGCAATTTCAATACTTGTTGGAAACGCGAAATCCAGCTCTATCTAACCCTACCTCAAACTGCTTCAAAGGTTATGAAATGGAGGAATGCAACCTTTTCATCGAGGGTGTAGATTTCGACGGTTTTTTTTTTCGGGATTTCAGCAAATCTGACCCAGTGACAATCGCGCCGCAGCTGCCGTTGAATCGGCCGTTGATTGATACACTCGGCTGTTTCGATATACTCAAGCAGGGAATCAAGATTGAATCGCAACCCCGTGCCTTCAGGATTTCTGTGCGTTTCTGAACGAACCTCGCCTTGAGGTCACACAAAGTTAATGCCTCTTTCCTCGAGTCGATATTTCAGTAAATACACAAAAGTGTGCAGCGATGAAAGACAGTGCATAGATGACAAGATGAGGCGTCCATAACATTATTTTGCAGGATTTTTTTTGATTTATTTTGCAGGATTTTTTTTATTTATTTTGCAGGATTTTTTTTGATTAATTAATTGAATTAATTTGCTCTGTTTTTGGGGGGTCGTGCCAGGATCTCGATTTTCGGGGGGGGGTCGTACTTCTGCGACCACGTACTCGACACGATTTTCACCCTGTATCGGACCTCTACTACTCACGATATAAAAGTGGATAATAAGTCGTATCAAATTCCTTCTGTCACAGTGCATCTAAGATAAGCTGTCGAGCAGTTGAGCAGTCGCTCATGAAAACTTTGGATTTACTCGACATCAATCTACGCAACAGCGTCGATGACTTCCTACTAAGTCATCGTTTATCTATCAACGCAGAAAGCGGTCACTTTGAAGGGCAATATTTTTTGTTCGGTATCCAACTGAATGTCTTTCTTCGGAAGAAAGACAGAGACCTCTACAGATTCGAAGGCCTTCCTAGTAGGGTATGGGTGAATCTGTGCGACATTTTTATTGTAACAACTTAATACTATTTTGGATTGGGGTGCTATCACCGCAGTAGATTAATGACAGATCAGAAAAAGGCTAAATCGCCAGTAATCTGCTGCAGCCTTCTTCTAAATTTGTGACAGTCAGATCACTACGAGGATTGAGACAAGCAGCTACACCGCCGATTAATGTTTGATCAGTGCAGGGTTTTTTCTGACCAGCATTTCAGCTTGACAAAATTTTTAGCACACTCTCTGAATTATATCTAACAGAGAGCCAGTTCGCTTATTTTCACAGCCACATCCACATTTACCGGTTATAATTTATGAAATGGGCGGAAGTGGTGTAGTGGCAAGTGGCACGCTTACCACGCGAGCGGTCCGGGGATCAAATCCTGGGTCGTGAGTCGCCCGGGCCAACCAAGCCTTCCATCCCTCCGGGGTCGGTTAATTGGTACCAGACTTGTCTGGGAGGATAAAAACACTGACTTGTACATCGGCTGGCCCCCGCAAGTCATTGTATAGGCCACATCGCATTCAAACGCCACTACGAATGTACAAATGGAAGTAGAATGCGTGCCGCATCCCAAAAAGGGAATGATTATCCTTTATCCTTTATCTTTATCTTATAATTCGCTTATTATACACGATTGCCCAAACAACCTCAACCACTGCCTCAGGGTGAGTAACCCTTTGTTGGAATTTCCCCTCTCTGGTTAATTATTATGGTTAACATTTGGCTGAATGCGTAATTGTGCTGAGAGGATAGGTAACACTTGAAGTTTCGAAACGCTTTCAGGCCTTTGATAACGACGAATTTGTCGAAACGTTAGGCTAAATAAAAATTCCACCATTTTAACCTGTTTGGCGCAGAAGCAACAATAGCGGTCAAGAACAATGCCCAGGTTTCACGAAAGGCGGACATGGAGATTAGCGGTTGTCTGCCTTAGCGGTTCGTTCATTCCATTAGCTGCTTCCATTTTGTGGTTGGAGAGACGGACACACTGACCAACACCCCGTCAAATGATACATCAGGATTGTGGTTTATATAATGAAGTGATAATAGAGGACTCTCGGCACTGCATAGGATTTTCCCGATCATCTAGGGCTCACTCCTGAAGAATTGCCGCTGTGACAGCTCGGATCAGTGAGTAAAAGAATGGGGAGGATAGAGCTGCGGAATAAACGCTTCATCTCCTCTTCTGCGACGTTCACGCCCTAACGGGTGAGCAGCTGACGTAACCTGCATTGCACGTTAGTGGTCCATCTCAACCGTGATGATAACGAGGATGACCTGAGTGAAGCAGCAGCTGCGTCAGCTAAGTGGTAGTGATAGTTTGAAGGAAAACGCAATCAAGAAAAGGCATTATACATGATATTCAATGGTACTTACCCCTATATAGCCATGAGGGTAACCACGGGGCCACCACCAAATGTGGCCCCGGCAAGCCGAGCACTCCACAACTAGACATGCAAGTACCAGCCAGCGCATTTCTGGCAATCTGCAAAACTTAGTAAAATATTGTAGCAGCTGAATTTGAACCTTGAATTGGATATTGATTGAATTAGACTGCTCGCTTGTTGTTGAATCGGCATGGCTTCACGCGCAGCAGCCGAGAAGAAGGATAGCAGGAAATCTGAAAAAGCGATTTGTTACCAATCTATGCGGTGCCTATTTATGCTCGAGCCTATAGCCTATTTGTTAGTCAAATTCTGATCATGGGCGACTGAAAGTTTGTACAGATTGTTTCCTTTTTGATGTTTTCCTTTTCCTTTTTTTGGGAACGTTTTAGTGTGGTTTTGTTCACACTGCAGAATTGTTCATGTAAATGAAGGAAACCCATGGCTCACAGCTCACATGCTTATACCAGCCAGCGCATTTTTGTCAATCTGCAAAACTTAGTAAAATATTGTAGCAGCTGAAGTTGAACCTTGAGTTGAATATTCATTGAATTAGACTGCTCGCTTGTTGTTGAATCGGCATGGCTTCACGCAGCAGCAGCCGAGAAGAAGGGGAGCAGGAAATCTGAAAAAGGATTTGTTACCAATCTCTGCAGTGCCTATTTATGCTCGAGCCTATAGCCTATTTGTTAGTCAAATTCTGATCTTGGGCGATCGAATGCTTGTACAGATTGTTTCCTTTTTGATGTTTTGGGAGCGTTTTAGTGTGATTTGTTCACACTGCAGAATTGTTAATGTAAATAAAGGAAACCCATGGCAGCAAAGCCCCTACGCCACATTTTCTCGCGTCATTACTGTGGATTCAACGATCGTTCTGAGGGGTACCATCAAGACGAGCCAACGCCGAAAATTCTTCGCCGTGCGCAGGGAGAGTTGCAATTGATTAACGAACGAGGTAATGAGAGTCAACAAGGCTGTATCATCTTCGAGAGCAGAATATATATGTTGCCTGAGGAGCATACCCCCTTTCACACCTTTCGAAGTGTCCCTTTCAATTCATTTCAGTTCAATCACGACGTTTCTTTTGTCTATAGCATTCACACTGTTACTAACTTACTACTACAATTCAATTTTCCCCTATTTGCTTGGCAGCATTTCATGTCAGGTTTTTTCATTTGTTCGTTGTCTTTCATCCTTGCTCTCTTCTTCATCATGTGCACTGCTTCCGCCGATTTGCGTCGTTGATTTGCAGGTTCTGTTGCCATGCTCGATAATTTCATGGCCCGTTTTACTTTCCGCTGTGTGATCGGCAACAATACTCCGTGGCCATCTCGACACTAATCACGGCGATGCCATGTCCGCCGGCACGGACGCTTTGCTCCCGCATTTGCATAAGCCTGCCTCACCCGGGAAGGAGGGCGGCGCCGGTGCGGCGTGAGGGTATTAATGGTGACTTACGATAACGCCGTCTTCGCTTGCCCGCCTACCCGGACACACTAATAGCCTAGGCAGCCCGACTGCAATACGGCCATAACCCGCTACGCACCGCAATGCATGGCCACGCCTGCGATGTATTGTACCGCTACCACTAAATCCCTCCTTAAAACGATGAACTATTGACCCGCTACGGGCATTGCATCAACTGTGAACGTATTAATCACATTAAAGAAGTACTACAATGCGGACGAATACCACACAACGAAGAAATAAACCATAGATTCATAACTCCAATGATGTAAAGCTACTACGACTAGACTCACGGGTCGAACCCAGTAGTATTCTTACGCGGGGGTGACGTGGCTCGGTTCCGTGTCCATCGACGGGCATCCATGCCCGGATCCACTTGCTGACGTACGAACAACTGGAGCACGAAGTGGCGACAACGGAACAGACAGCAACGACCAGCGGCTGCACTCGACGGCGGCACTACGTAGACTGAAGGCAGGCAGAGGCGCCTGCACTCTGCTTCTCTGGCGCTCTTCGAGAAACTTCGATGGCGCGGGCGCGCCAGGACCCGCGCACACCCGACCAGGCGCGACCCTTTAATTGGAGTCGTGCGGAAGTCACGACACACCATAGACGGGGAATTAAAAGTACGTCGTGAGAGTACTTCGTTAAATGCAAAGTTGGTTTTCTTTCTTGCCATCAAACGGCATCGTTGATCGCAAGAGGTCGCTGATCGAAGCACGCGCTACTACACTTTGCTCTATAGCAGGGACATCAGTAAACAGTCTTGGCGTGGCGGTCAGCGTAAAATCGATCTGCCTCAGACTTCTTTGTATTCGAGGCCGTACCTTACACCTGAACATTCACACTTATGAGCCTCCACCGGGAAATAGGAACTGGGAACTCTTGGCAAACCGTCACTGTAGCAGCTAGGATCAGTGGGCCCTGAGAAAAATGAAGTTTCAGCTTTTAAATGACCGTTTCAATGTTCACTCTTCTACGGCTAACTTAAGTCGCTTCAGTGCGGGCACCACTCCGACTAAACTTGCTCGGGAGGCCACTGGTCCCTATAGTCACACTCATCGCAGATACTGAAAAGATCACAACTTGAGTAAGCCAGAGCTGCGCCCGTAAGCACTAGTGATAGTTGAAGAAGGAACATAATTGAGAAAAGCAACGAAACGTGACATTTCGCTAGCACTTACCCTTAAATATAATAATTACCACGAGGAGAACTGCACTACAACAACCGATTTGTTGTATAGGCATAGGTGAGCCGAGCACCCCACACTAGGCATGCAGCCATAAAATGACGCAATCGATCAACCGGCAGAGCTTCAAGAAACGGCAACTGAAACTGGATCTGCCAGAATTGAGCTCAACTACTCGTTTGCTGTCTCATCGGCATGGCATCATCACAGAAACAGCTGGGGAAAGAGTAAGAGGAATTGAAAAGATATGACCGAAACGACAATCTGTTACCAGTATTGGTGATGCCTATTTATGCTGGACCTCATGACCATATTTGTTGGTCAAACAGTAACATTGACTGATGCAGGTGAAGAAGGGCTGGCGCTTTTAATCTCTAAATAGCAGTGGTCATGCAATTTGAGAAAACCCTTTGGCACTATTAACGAGGCCACAATACCCTTGCCCTTCTTTTTGCAGTGATCTCAACTGCCTCTCAGGAAGGCAGTACTTAAGAGACCGTATTAGAACAGTTCAGCGGATGCACCTATGAAAATGAATGAATGAATAATAAAATGATCGAGCATATTGCCACTATCATCGCAGCTATCAGGGCTCCATGCCCGTATGGCCCATTTCTCATCTTCGCTACTCGCCATCAAGTCGTGCCGATCATGCTGGGCAAAAATTTGGGTGAGTGAAGCAGTGGCTGTGCCTTTTCAAGATTGTTGTTGGAGCGAAACTCGTTCATCTTACGCTGAACAGTGAACTCTTACACATAGGTCTTAGTTGTGAGATTTACTTTAGATTGAGGGTTCATTTCAATTATTGGAGGCGGGCAACCATTGTGAGGCAAGCCAATACAGTTGCTCGGGAGCCAAAGCCATAAGGGGAGACGAGTTCTTTGGAGTAGACATTGTAAACAATAGTGCTCGCCTGGCTTTCTCCTGTCCTGGTTTAGTCATTGCTCACCTACGCACCCCTGTTTTGGGAAGTCCCCCCCCCCTCAAGGAAATGAGCACTGAAAGAACATTCAAAGATTGTCGAATGCGTGCAGGGGGCAGATTTCTGTTCCATCGGCTCCCTGTGGCGAGGATAATGGGCGCCAAGGCCGCCTACGAAACACCGCTCAATCCGCTTCCATTTTTCAACAGCAGTTAGGAGGGTGGCTGCATTCGGGGCTCAATCGCTTGTGCTTCGTCTATGCGATCCTCTCCGTACAGGGTGAAAGATCCTGCAGGAAACGACAACGGCCTCGTCTGAGGATTTTTTTTCCCACATCCACGGCGAATGCTCGCTTTCGCACCGCGAGCCGGTCTCTGCTCTCATTCCCGACACTACTCTCGCACACAGTAGAGGGCCATGGTTGAAGAATACCTCTATCGTTATTCACCCTGCCTCCGTACTCGATGTCCTATACCGTAGCATAGCCAAACTGCATATATTCGACGGAATGTTTCTTTTTATCACTACCCGTCTGAGTCATCGTCTTTAAGCTGCCTTAATGCTGACTCGTAGTGGACTTCGTGCGATAAAGGGATGCAGCAAATGCCATGCTCACTGTTGGTGCACCAGTGACATCGCTGTCTTTCATCAATCATCAGATGCCCCAGATATCACCTTTATCATTTGCCAGTGCGATGGAGCATTCATAGTTGGCGATCGTGCGTGCGATTAGGCGATTAGCGCGAAATTCAAAAAGGAATGTATACGTGTCGACAAGCGAGTAGACAGTGAGGGAAGGATACGTATTGATTTGTTGCTCCGCCTATTGTGCGATCGCTTAATCGTCTAGTCGCTCACTCGCCTACTCGCCTACAACGCTATACGGCGGAGCAAACCAATCAACGCGCATGTAGTCTTCTTGCCTTTGCCTTAATCTATAGCCTGTTTTCATTTATGAGAATTTAGTCACCTAATCGATGTACGGTCGCAACTCTGAACGCCTCATAAGCGATTCATCATTACCATTCCCGTTGAAGTCGCGGCAGGTGAAGAGGTGATGGAAAAAAGCAACCGCTAACACAACTAGAAAAGAAAACTAGAAACCACTCACATTCGATACAAAAACCAAATGTGATGTTATCTTTCTGGAACCCTCTTTCGAAAGAAGACTGAGAACACGGGTGTGCGTCATATGGCGCGATAACATTGGCATTGGAGCGCAAAGGCCGTAATTACCACATCCTGCAGTGGCCGGACAACTCGTCCGCGCAACACATTCTGTTCCGTTCCTCTAGCCTTGGCATCAGGACAGCGAAGCTATTCGTTCTTTTTAGACCTTTGGGACTCAGCGAGATTTTCGAGACCCAAATTATGAGATCGATCAAATGCTGAAGTCAAGTAATTGAGTGATACGGACGAGTTGTCTGGCCGACGCGGGCGCTCTACTGCCAGTGGGATCGCGCCATATGACCGCCTCCGAGAACACTGGTCGCCGGGGTCATATGTGTACCGTTTAGAGATCTGGCGATTTCAGC